CTAATTATGTTATTCTTTTCATCATGGATCCAGACTGCTGCCTTCACCCAATACCATCTTGTTTTCCAAAATTATATGAGAACTCTTACCTAAATCGTAGAGTCACGACTGCATATCATCATATGGGTCTGCTCCTAATTAAGTTGATTTTGAAATTCCCATTGACTTGGGACTGGGAGCAGGCCCTGTGTCTGCTACATAAAGAACTAAATTGAGTTCTCTTAAACTACTGAGTTCCATCAACAAAACATTAGTTTCCCTTTCATCCTTCATTGCGGATAGAAGTGTGTCCTCATGGCATTTTTGTTATACTTTGGTTCTTGATTAAATGAAAAATTGCTTAAATGGTTTCACCTCACTTCTAAATGATGATGCAATCTTTTATTTTTCTTTCTGCCACCAACCTCAGCAAGCACTGATAAAGTTAGAAATGTACTACAGTGGTCTACCAGAGTGCTTATTTGAGGATGTTCTCTCTTCTAAATAAAGGGCAAGATAGAGGAAGGAAGAGGCCAGCTACAGGGAACATAAACATGGAGAAACTTATGTCACCTGGGGAAAAAAAGTCCTTGCAAAGGTTCATTCGTGGACCAAAGAGGTCAGAGACCAGAGAGAGCACAGTTGGTAAAGTAAATATGGCAGCTGGGGAAACCTTTAGCTTTGTTTTGTTTTAAATAGAGGAACTAATATCCCTCAGTGATTTGAATAGAAATACCCATAAGTCATTGTTTCAGTCCATACTAGTACACATTAACATTAGGGGAATCCTATTTAAGTACAAAAACCATGCTTATTTGAAGATTTGTAGTCAGCTTTAGAGCTCTTCAAATATTATATGCCAATTACATGTACATTGCTTATCAATACCTCTTTCAACAACAGTTCTTTCATAGATGACAGAAATCTATTTAATAACCACAGAAGTGAAAGAATTAGAGGTGTCCTGTCCCTAATTGGAAAGGACAGTCCCAAAATGGTGCGAGGGACTCCCAGGAGGGATGTGGGGGGATGTGCCCCCCAGATTTGTGAAGGGGACAGGAGTGGATGCCCACCCTAGTGCCCTCCCTATGGGAGCCCTGCACTGGCTACATCACCATGGCACAACACACCTTGTCTGCCCAGCAGCAGCAGGGGCAACGGTGTGGAGTTGAGGCCCTGAGCCTGCATTGGGCAGCCTGCATTCACCCCTGCCCGGCATGGGCTTCACTCAGTTTTGCTCTGGCTGTGCCGCTGGGGAGCATCATCTTAGGCCATCCCCCCATCCCCCTGGCAAAAATAAAAGTCAGCGCCTATGTGCAGTGACTTCTGCACTTTCAATTTAAAACCATAATATATCTGTAGACCAGCACATTTATATTCAGCCAGCTCCCTGGCATTGTGACTCAGCAGGAAGTGACCATCTCACTAGATTTTTTCAGCTTGTGCTGCATGGTTTGCTAAAATAAAAAAAAAAACTGCTTTACTATCCCCAACATTTGTATACAGTACACTCAAAAGCTTTGGCAGCTGCATCCTGTTTCATGCCACATTTCTGCTGGCTCTGGACAGCTTTTAACAACGAACATTTTCCTGTCGGTTCTAATCAATTTGTGACTCTGCACTAGAGTAACAGAACGTGGCATATCGATCTGTTCTTGGTTTACAGTCAAATGTGTAAGTGACACTGAAAATGACCGAGTGTATTCTTTGCATGATAAAAATTACTATTACTAGGATAGGCACAGAAATCTGTTGTGGGGGGGCGGGGTTAAACCTTCAAAGAAAGCTGCAGAAAAAAAATGCATGGAAAACAAAATCTGCCATGTATGCAGTTTACAGGTTTATATATATATTTTTACTAATGCATACATAGCAAAGAGCACATATAATAATTTATTGGGTAGGAACTGCCCTTTTACTGATGGTTTTATGGCACTTTAGATCTATGTGATCACTACGTTGCCATAGTGTGCTGTACAGTGATGTAGCACCTTGCTACATCACTGCAGGGCAATGTGTAGGTGCACCCTATGAGTAATACTTATTTTTCTGACATTATAAAGGTACCTGGTAGAGACAGGGAAGGCATTACTTATCTTGCTTTGTATCTATGCAGTGAGATCTTTAACTATCATTTTAAATGAGCTCTGAGCAGTGGCATAACAAGCAGAGTTGGTGCCTAGGGCAAGCCCTGCAGAAAAGAGCTACATGCTTTACCTGCCCTGGCTATTGCTCTTAAAGCAACAACAGCAGCAGCAGCAGCAGCAGCAACAGCAGCAGCAGATGACAATTTAGGAGTTCCCAGCATGGGTATGTTGCCAGAGTGTGGACTCTGTGGCAATGGGGGAAATTCTGGTACCCCTCCTAACTTGGAGTTTAGGGCAGGTGCCCCTCTCACCTACCCCTAGTTATACTATTGGCTTGAGCATAGTTCCCACATCCTTTACGCCTATACACGCGTAAGTATCGCCTATTACCTCTAAATAGAACAATGTAATATGCACTGCTTCTAAATTATTCCAATATTTAAGATTATATGCTGAGTACCAAGTAGAAGAGGAAGGCATATTGGAGCATACTTTATTGAAACAACAATGCCCCCCTTTATAATATTCTGACTTCCCCTAGCTCCAGACAGAGGCTAACACAATGCACATACAAATCTTGCAACTGTCTAGAATGATGTAGACTAGACTGTTTCATAATTGAGAAACACAGACGCAATCAGAATCTTTTAAACAAAATTTCCAGTGAAAGATTTTCTCTCTCATATATCATTTATAAAATAACTCATACAGGAACATTCTGATGACTGTTTCAAATTTAAGTATGGCTTTAATTTTATCTTTAGAGGAAACCAATAAAAGACAAAGGATTTGCTTTCTCTATCTTTTAGTTCAATGGATTAATACCAACTGACACCATGTAAAGATCTGGACCAAAAACTGAATGTAAAATGATAACAAACAAACATTATTCAGCAATAATTATTTCCTTCTGTTGAACAACTTTAATTTAATTGCCCTATTTACTTGGGCTTTTGCCTTTTTCTGCATTTGACAATTGTTATTTGGTAGCCCTTCCCTGTGCCACTTTCTCACTGTGGATAGCTTTCCTTTTATGGCTCTGAAATCAAGAGGAATGTTCTATTATAATATGAATATATGCTTCACAATAGAAATTGCATCTTTAAAAGGGATATCATTATGTTATACAAAGAAATGAGACAGTTACTCACAGGAAGAGGCTCAATGATTTACCATTCTCTTCTCTAGAAAAATATTTTTTTTAGCTGGCATGCTCATTTAAGTAGCAATCTGTTGCTTTGTTACTTTTTTCCAGACTCTCTGTCCTTCAGAAGTTCTTCTCAGAATAACTGTGCTGTCTGCGGGACACTGATTCTAGAAGATGAATTGAAAAGATACATAATGATAAATAAATAAAAAGCTTTCCAACATTTCTTTTAGGTACATTAATGTTTAATTATGTCAACTACAGATGTGTCAGTCATTTGTCTTTAAACCTGGAATTATTACAAAGCTAGTAGGATATTATATATATTTGGTTTCAGAAGGGTGACCTGGTAAAAAAGATAATATTGTAGAAGTTTCCCTGAGCATGGAAGGAAACACACAAGGTCTTAGCATAACTGCGGATTTTGCTTAAGACTTCAGAAATAAGGTTTGAATAGAAATTAAGTGATGGGTACATCTTCTGGCCTGGAGCTCTAAAGAATCCCAGAATGGAGTGAAAAGTGATGTTGTTATTCCTGTTTTAACAGACAGCTAAGACCACATACCTTCTACTTTGTGCATCTACAGCAGGGGCGGGCAATTATTTCAGGTGCAGGGCTGCTTACTAAGTTTTGGCAAGCCATTGAGGGCCACATAACAGGCAGCCAGGGGCAGATAAATATTCATTTTCTCAATTTTTTAGTGGCCCCGTGGGCCGGATAGAATGGCCTGGTGGGCTGCATCTGGCCCGCGGGCCGCGTTTTGCCCACCCCGATCTACAGCTATAGCACTGGAGCTATTTATCCTCTGAGCGTCTCGTTTTGCAAAGAGAGGGTCTTACAACAACCCACAAGATCTGGAAAATCCTGACATTTCAGGAAGTTCAAATTCTGTTCTAGATCTGAACTCTGTAGTTTATGCCCCTCTCTAATATGGAAATTAGCGATGAATGATGACAGTTTGAAAGTTTGGAGATATTTGATCCATGACTCAGCCTGGACATAAGGTGAAATACTGAAAATATGGACGTCAGTGGGAGTTTGGTCATTCAGTTCAATGGAGCCACGAGGATTAACTCATGAGATTTCTAGACCTTCTTGTGAAACCTCCAGTCTCCCTATGTAGTGAGGCTGGCAAGCTCACAAGAACAGCATGTATCCTGTTTGCAAACTATGAAAACCAGACCCATTGAGAACAACAGGGGTTTTTTATCTCAGTAAAATTCATTTTCATTTTGATTCAGTTTTGGAACACAGATTTATGAGCAAAATATTCTCATATTTTTGTTTTAGCTGAATAAGTACCACCATAATATAAAAGCAACGTATAAAGGAAAATAGAAAGTAATTATTCAAATGGCATGTTGGTACAGGAGTTTACCAATATTTTTCTATGAAGGCTCTCTGTTCCAATCACTTTTTAGAATTTGCATTGTTGCCCTTTGTCCAATGGAAGAGAAAATGGGAAGAAGCATTGAGATGTAAAATTTTTTATCACTGAAGCTTTTTCAGGGCAGGTTAGAGAAACTTCTCTGGGATGGTTTAGCTCAAGATGATCCTGCCTTGAACTGCAGGTGGACTAGATGACTTCCTGAGGTCCTTTTCTGCTCTCTTTCTGTGATTCTTTGAGCTGTAGCTACTTCAATTACAAAAGGCTAAACATTAATATATTATGAAATAAACTGATTTGAACATAAACCTCCACTCATGAAGCCACTATCTCAGTCTTGGCTTTGTACCAACAAGCCCATTTTGAAAAGTCCTGGACAGATTGTCCTGACTAATTTCTCATGCAATCTTAACAGCTTCAGTTGAGGAAGAAGGGATACCTTAGGAAATAATCAAGCCATCTGGGCATATTAATATGTAAGAACAGAACTTCAGTTTGTGTACAAAGCATTTTTAAAAAAACATTTCCGGGACAAAGTAATTCTTTTTGCAATATGCCAACATTTGACTTATGAAAAAGTGGGACATCCTCTCCTCTCAGTTAACTTTCTAGAAATGGAATTGGAATGGTGTGATTTAGGGGAAAATATTAGTACTTTGTGTTAATGAGGTGGGAATAAAGCTAAGTTGCATGCCTCCCTTGCAGTCCTCCCAGCTTTTGAATGATTCCGAAACCCAAATGTAAAAACAGTGAAGGGACACTAACTTGGATTGTAATTAGGACATATAACCCTCTTGCAGAATGTTCTTTTTTGGTATTCATGTTACCAAAAACACCTGTTGTTGTTGTTGTTGTTGCTGTTTTTGTGTTTTTTTTTAATGTAGGAGGAGCCATATAAGAACAATCCAGTAAGTTTGCCTTAAGCTTCAAAGGTTCTTGATGGTCCCTTAGTATGTGGGACCCTTGATGGGAATTATACTGCATTAGCAAGCCCTATTTTCATAGACTTCACACATTTTCTTTGCTACCCTAGTTTTCACTAATGATGAAATGGAAAAATTCTGGCTGTGTTTTTATATGAAGGATAAACTAATTAGAGCTGATGCCTTCCCTAGGGATAGGCCAGTACTACAGAAAATTATGTGAACTTTCATTTGAAATTGTATTTATTTGAGCATTGAAATGGGTTTATAAGGAATATCATAGTAATTTATTTTCTGCCTGCTAGGTTTTAATTTTGAAGAGGCCCAGCTTGTTTCTGCTAACATTTGTACATGGTAGAGTGTATGAGGATTTCCTTTCATTTGTGTCTCTACTCTGATTGTACTGTCTATCACTCCCTACTCCCAACTTTGCAGAGTCCTTTAAGTACAGTTTGGAGTCCATGAAAAGGGAGAGATAATTTAGGGTGAGCTGGGGAGATATAGGGGTTGGATTAGCCATAAAACTGACAGAGAAAATTTAATATAGCTCAGTATTATGTTAACATTTCCACAGATCTCCAAGAGGTAGCTGTGGACAGAATGGAACCCTGCCAGTGCAGATCCAAATAGGACTGGGCTTGTCAAGGTCCAGAAGTACTGGGAGTGTGCAGGACATTCATGTCACTAAAGGCATGGGAGAAGGGGAGAAGAAAGCATATTCTCCACAATGGGACAATGAAGGATAATTTCTGCAGAAGATTCTGTAGACCAACTGGCCTGTTTCTCCAACCAGAAATGATTCAATGACACATCAAAGTATCTTCTAGTCCAGACCTTCAGGGTACAGTTGATGAAATTAAAAAAATTGAAAATAACAGTGTATCAGAACTAATCCCTGATCAAAACAGGCTGCAGGGGTCCAGAGGCCCCTGCCTTCCTTCTAGTTTTATATTATTTTTTCAGTCTATGAGCAAACTTTTCACTGATGTCCTTTGAAGCTTCTGAAGTCCATTTATAGTTTTTAGAGATCTTTTCTGTTGGGACTTGTCTAATTTCCATTGCTTTGTGATAATTAAATTGAAAATTTTAAACTAATTTGCAGCAATCAAGTTTTGCCCACTTTCTGTAAATATCCAAGTGTACAAGTTTATTGCCAAAAACCTACATAGAAATGGTAAACTTCAAATGAACACTGATGAAATATTCACAGAAAGGACATAATAATATTCACAATAGAAACTTGATTCTAAGAGATAAGAAACATAGAATGGGTCTTATGTTTTCAAATAACTAAGACCCCTGGATTTTACATATGAAGAAAATCGGTTGCAAACAAGTTGCACAAGAACAGTTATTTAATATAGCTCGATGCTGTTAACATTTCTACAGCACAAATAATTATGAATGACAAATATGTTAGAACAATTGCAGCCATTTAAATAATATTTAAAGAATATTTTAAAGTGTTTAAACTATGTAAATAACGTAAAAGGTGAACTTAAGTTAATTATATTTTACAAATCCTTTGTTCTACAGCACTCTGGCATTACCCCAGAAATGTAATGAAATCTTTTGCAGTGGACTTTTATGTTGTAAAGAAGCATGGATTCCTCTTCAGCAATTCAGATGTAAATGTTAGAAAGGCAGCTTTGGGACTTCCTTGTAACTGGTGTAAATAAGTTTCAAGGGGCAAGCCTACATGTGCAATTAATGTGTAGAAAGCTTACTGCATAGAAAAATACTGTGCAGTAAGCTTTCCCTGAGAGCACATCTACATGTGTGCTCATTGGGAGCAAATTTTCTCCCAACAGGAGCAGTTCAGGGCAGGGATAATGTCCAGTGCGGGTGGGAGAGGGGGTTTAAACCCCCTTCCCTCTCCTCCACTTCAGTGTGCCACCCGGGGCTGGTGTCTGGCCATGCCGCTTGCCCCCACTGCTTGAACAGTGAGTGGGGAGAAGCCAGGCAGGGGCTACTGCATCTCTGCCAAGCAGATCCCAGCTGGGGTTCTGTGTGGGTGGGAGAGGGCACTTAAAGACCCCTCCCCCTGCCTCATTCTGCTGGCCTGGCCCAGGTTCTGCCTACCTTCCCCCTCCACTCCAGTGGTGAGTGGGGGAAAAGCCTGTGAGGGGCTGATCCGCCCTTGCCAGGCAGAATCTAGCTGGGGTCTGGAACCAGGTTTCCCACCCTCAGCCCCTTCTCAGCCGGCTAGAGGAGCGATAGTGCTCTGGCTAGGGAGCAGAGAGGTGGGGTCAACCCTGCTCTGCTGGAGCAGGCAGCCCAGCCCAGGGCCGCAAAGCATCTTGGGATGTTGGGCGACTGTGAGTTAACTTGAACAGGAAGGGGGCTGGGACAGAAGTTCCATAAACCCATTTGACCTAAATCAGTTAAGTCTGATACTACATTCAACCAGGTTTATCTTAAACCAGTTTTGGCCATTTTAAAACTGGTTTATGTTCCCTGAACTGTTTTGTTACAGGTTTAAACTGGTTTCTGATCACTTAAACAGGTTTATGTGTAACCTCTGTGCCTAGCCAGTGTGTTACTTAGCAATGAAACCTGATGGTTTTGTCCCCATGGTGAGCTGTTAGTAAAAGAGGATATTCCAAGGAAAGCAGTCAGAGACAACCTTTTAACTTAATCAGTTATTGCTTTGGGTACAAGTACTAGTTCAAAGGAAGGGCAGAGTCCTTGCAGGCTGAATTATATGTATCATAATAATACATGGACTGCAGATCTGCTGCAAGGAAAATGATGCCTGGCTGTTAAACTTTCAAGCCATGTCAACACTTAAAGATATGCAGTCCCACTGCAGTTTCTTTATTACTACTGCAATGAACACTTATTTTCAGCTG